GAATATATTATATAAACTGTCCATTTATATTGTTATCAATTGACACTGGTCTAATTAATAACTTCACTTCACATCAAATGCAATTATCTATCTCTCACACACTATTATTGTAATCTCATAATCATATCATTTCTTTACACATCCATATAATGTTTTCTTCTGTATCTTGTTGCATGTATGTCTTTTCTCATGTATTATTTTGTAAAATGGCGGTTGCAATTGAAATAAATGAATAAATTAGATTGGGATGAATAGGATAGTTTTGTAAATTTTGCAATAATTAGTTTGAAAAATAAAAATCTCTAGGGTCCTTGATTTCTAACTTGATTACAGGTCTTATATTATGATGATCCCCATGAGACACTTCTTATCAAGGTTCTACTGTAATAAACTAAGCCAACATAAGGACCTATTCACATCCCTTAAGGTCTGTCCACACCAGCGTCGCCAGATGTCTTACTACGTCTTCGGTGAATTAATACGTCACCCTCACACTGTTCACACTGCAGCTATGCCCGGTCTGGATGTATATAGTTAACCCATTGCTAGAGTTTTTTGTCTGTAATGCCCTGTCCATGTGTGAGCCCCCCCCCCCCCCCCCCCCCCGATTGATTTCATACTTTTCGCATTAATCAGACATTACTCTATTAACAATTTGTCAATCTATTGTCTCAATTTTTACATCAGACTTCAAGATCCTTTTCTACCAGGTTCAAGGAACATATGCCAAATAAAAATTTTAAATCAGCATACGCAAATCAATTAATTTCCTGCAACCATAATTACACTAATATTGACAATCATTTAGAGATAGTACAATTCTGCAATAAAGGACGATACATGGATACTGTTGAGGAGTATGAAATCTACAAGGCGTCAAAAGAACAACCACAGTATATATTAGGGATGGTCAAGTCTCGAAATTTCGGGAAATTTTCAATCTCGTTACACGAGACGAGATTACTTTTTGGCCGAGATTTTTATCAAGACGAGAATAAAAAAAAAAAAAAAAAAAAAATTAAAAACGCCTGCAGAAAGTCAATGCAATACCCGCAATACAGGAGCGTGTTGTAGTTGCGTTTCCTTTTCGAAGGCGTTCTTATTTAATTAATTCTTTTAATATAAATATTACTTTAATTCTTTTAATGTAAACTAGCTGTGTACCCGTTCTACGCACGGGGATCTTATAATATTCAGTTGAAACCTTCTTATATAAAGAACAGCAGTTGGTTTGCATATTTTAAGATATGCTGGCCAAACTATTATACATAGCTTCATTTTATGTTGTTTTTTGTTGTTCCGGATCGGTATGACAATCAATAAAAGGTTAAATTACCTCTGTGTCTGCCGGTCGATCCTATAACGGTAGGCTTACTTTTATTTTTACTATCTGATCTCGTTTGCATGGCTCAATCACGTCCTGGTTGAAGTTCGTTCGCTACGCTCACTCACCTGTATGTTGGAGCTCGTTCGCTGCGCTCACTTTCCTTCAGGTTAGCTCGTTCGCTACGCTCACTTGCCTTCAGGTTAGCTCGTTCGCTACGCTCACTCGCCTCCAGGTTGCAAATTAGCTGTTGTCATAAATGTAAAAGAAATAATAGTGCTAGTGCTGCACCCTGTTGGTAATCCTTGTAACTTTAATGCTATTGAACATCACAGAACAGAACCAACTTGTTTAATTGAAACAGCTGTTAAGATTCAATAATTTCATTTCTCATAAGGTTAACATGGGCTTCCAGAAATTCCACGTCAAAAATCGACAAAAACTTGATTTTCAAGGGTTTACTGTTAAATATCTAACTGTCTCATATTCGATGAAATACGTCTAAAACCATCTCATATATGTATAGTATTTGGAAAATAAGTTTCAGGCGGGACAGTGCTATAGTTATTGAGGAGTAGTTGTAATAAAGTGCGTATTTTAGCGTTACCAAGAGAATGACAGATAGACAGACAGACAGACAGACAGACAGACAGACAGAAATTGAGATAAGGTTTGATTCGGTTTCTCTGACCTATGAAATGTAAAAATAACCAAAAAGTTCATTATTCTAAGCAATGTACAGACAAAACTCTAATTTTATTTATATAGATATTACTTTCATTATTTTAATAATATTACTTTAATAACATTTGAGAAGTTTTGTTAAGTGTAAGCAGTGTGAGGAATGTTTTATTACTATAAAAAAAGTCAAAACAAAAAGTCAAAGTAAGTTAGGCGTGATTAATAAAAAAATGTTATGCTGATGTTATTTAATGAAAGATTGTAAATATTCTTGCCTATTATCATTATTTTAGTATTTAAACAGTCATCTAACAATGTTACAAAATCAGGTAAAAATTTCGAACGTGCATTTCCCGTTGTGTATGAGAAGAGAAATCTCGTCTCGATCTCGTCTCGAAATTTTATGAGAAATAAAAAATCTCGTCTCGTCTCGTCTTGAACTAAAAATCCAATCTCGTCCATCCCTAGTATATATTAAACAAAAAATTATCACTGAATCAAACATCTACAACACCACCATTCATATATACAATAAACACATTTTATTGTATTTTCAGGGCATAGCTTACAGGGATTCAGAATAATAATACAGTAGAACTCCGATTATCCGAATCAATTGGGACCAGACCCCATTCGGATAATCAAAAATTCGGATAGTCGGAGTTTTACAGGAATTCCGGGAATTTCCAAGGAAAATCCTCATTTCCAAGACTAAATGAATTTTTAATTAATAATAAATGAAATCAGAACATTTTTACAGTAAACAATGCTCTTAGCACAAGTGTTCTAAACTTGTTCTTAATAACAATTCTTTGATATTTTCCAAACCTTATTATTACTGTAGCTTTACATTATTAAAATTGTTGAAATAAGCGATTCGGATACTGTTTTAATACTGTTCAATGAAATGGCGACCATACATAGTAGGTATTTTAAGCCAAGTATGACTGGAGATGAGTGTAGGATGAGTGGCGCGATCTTGTAGTCTTGTTAGTGACTAAGGCCGACATTCCTTAGACACAGCTGTTAATTAATAGCCCATACAGCTAATGGCAACTATGGGACCTACAGTTTATAGTGGAATCCGAACCACATTTTTGCCTTGGTATATACATTGGTCTAATTTTCAGGATAGTACTGCGTGTAGTTGTCGGCGATTCGGTTAATTGGAGTTCGGATAATTGGAGTTCTACTGTATGCATTAAAAATGAGTTTCTTTTTATAAACCCTTAAAATATCATATAGGCTATCAATAAATTTTTCTTACAATTTTGATCACCCTCCAGTTAGCTACAGATTTGTTTGCATACTGGTGGAGCATGTGCTATCTGGCACAAAAACTAATTCACAGTCTACTGTACAAGTTTTTCAGTTTATAATACAGTAGAACGTCGATTATCCGAATTAATTGGGGATTGGGGTTGTTCGGATAACTGATTTTTCGGATAATTGGTCATTGACGGGAAAAATACGGGGAACGGGAAATGACGTGAAGGGATAGCGGCCGGCGGCGATTTGCCGATTTCGCGTCCGTGGATACTGTACAATAATATAAATTTGATTAATTATAGAGATGTGCGAGTACTTGAGATTTCAAATTCGAGTCGAGTACGGCCTTGAAACTCGAGCTTATTTTTTAACTCGGCAGTTTCGAGTCGATTTTGGTTTAAATTAGTAAAAAATCAATATTTGTTAAAATGTAACTTGTGTTTACGTGAAATACTGGATATATTTACTACTGTAGATTCTACAGTAATACAAATATTAATATTTTTACATTGTAGAAATAAGCAAGAGGTAGTTGTCCTAACCTATTTTTTTAGCTGCTACAACAGAATAGGTCAACTCAAAGCAGTCGCCGGCGACTGACTAGTGACTACTGACTGGCAATGAAAAACAATAGAAGGGAGGGAGGGGTTGTGCAATGACCTCGAAGTGAGCGGGTGTAACACTGAATGAAGTAGGGGTTTGGGGGGAAGGGGGAGGGGCAGACCTTTGAGCTATATTTAAACTTTCACCACTTAGCAGCCGTGCGGGTTGCGGTGGCGTAGCGCTACGGCCAGTCGTGATTGGCGCGCGATTTTATTGATTTTTGCTTCTTTCTTCCTTTCGGTTAACCGACGTTTCGGATGACCGGGCTTCGGATAATCGACGTTCTACTGTAATCAATACTGGTAGAGTATTATAAACTTTATTTTTGCTATTCACTTAAAATTCACTTACAGGATTCTCTTTGACCTAGACATTGGTTGAAAAATACCTACAAAAATTTAATAATTTTGTAGGTAATTAAATTCTCTACAAATTTGATTGTGATACTTGTTTTCCTAGAATAGGCCATTGCTGAATTACAGCGATATATAGTTAAAATTTTGGCAAATTTCAGAAAAATTTGTTTTTTTTCCTTTTTATTAAGTGAATATTTTCTTAGCCACAAGTCGTAGAAACAAAATATTAACCGTAGGCTAATTATAGTAAATTTAATTGTCTACAACATCGAATACCTATATCTTCTTTTCCACTAAAACTGAGATATAGGTAGGCAAAAATCTCAGTTTTAATCTCTTACTCCGATTTTTCCAATATGGCGGTGGGCACGGAGGGGTAAAATTGTGAATTTTGCATTTTAAACACCTGCTTACCATCCTAGACAACATATAAAAAAATTAGAACTACCGGACCGTTTGTAAGTTAACCCCCCCATTTTTGTCTCTATTTACTTGACTAGTAGTATCATCTCCAAGGCTACTAACATAGCGTGAATTTTTTAATCATGTTATCTTCGCAGATATGTTCGGTGTTTGCAATAATATAGGGATAGTTGAAGCTCGGCTTGGAATTCCATTTTCTGAATTTTGGTGCTTCATCACTCATGATTTAGGATTTTAAACCCCTAGTGTGGGTCACATTTCCTTAAAAACGGTTGTAATTTCTTGCTCAACATTCAACTAGTAGATAATAAAACATGTCGCCAAAGTAAATCATGCAGACTAACCTTCCAGCAACACTGGCGGGTTGGATTTCTTGCACAAATATTCCAAGCTCTCCCTCAAATTCACTCTTCAAACCGACCACGCTGAAGCCCAGACTTCCTCCTTCAGGTTTCATCAGCTGAAACAAAAAGAAAAATTTAATTTCCAGTACCTTACTTTATGTGCTCATCTCTTTTAACATTGTTTTGCAACAGTTACTAAATTGTTCAATAACAATAACAATGTATACATATGCATAACCTATACTATAATACAAGCTAAGTCAAGTAGGCCTAATAAGAGTTCTCGGTAACGTTATCGTCGTCATCCGCGATCACGGCAAAATTATGAACATTTCCCGCGGCCGTATGGACATCATAATTGTCTCCCGCAGTCACAGTAATGTCACCGTTGTGGTCAGCGATCGTGGCAAAATCATAAACATCTTTCGGGGCTGTATAGACATCATCATTGAATGCCGTGGTCACGGAAATGTCTTTGTTGTCGTCCCCAATTGTGGAAAAAACCTTAAACATGTTTTGTGGCCGTGTAGACATCATCATCGTACATGGACACATGATTGTCCCGTATCATGAAAATTCCCGACTTTGATATCAAAATAAAGACTAAATTTCCGACTTTTCAAGACCATTTTTAAATTCAATACTAATTCCCGACTTTCCTGTTTTTTCCGACTACTAGACACCCTGTACACTAATAGTGGACTGCAGCGAACGCTTTAACACAAATTTTCCCTAAAAGCAGACACATGGTGTAGTCAGCAAATGATTAGTAATAAACTAATCACATAAACGAATCAGGCAGGTACTTTTAAACTGCTTTAAAATGAACCTATAGATTCAAAACTGTTGTCAATTTAAAAAAGAAACCTAAATCAACAATTGTATTACACAACAGCTGTATTACAACCTTTAATTTAAAGTTAGGCATAATTATTCACCTTTATCGTCTGCACTTCTCTTCCATGTGACGACTGCTCAATGGCCTTCTGGAACTCAAGGGCGTATGACGGAGTTGTGATCGGTGGCAGACTAGTGTCCTCAGGAGCCGGACTCACAATCTGGGGACATTAACAGTCTTATAAAAATCGCTAATATAGAGTATAAACCAAGACTCAATTCGAGGGAGGGCAGGCATACCAGACATCTCTCCATAGAAAACACATTTTTTCAGTTTTAAACCATTTGTACGATGAATTTTTCAACAAATACAGTACTGATATTTTGTGCTAAAAACTATTATCTTGGAGATTGAACAAAAGGGTTGATCCAAAGCTTCTACTATAGATTTAAGTTCAAATTCTATCGGTGGGGCACACGGGAGGGACTAAGGCTAACATATCTTGTAGTGTCAGCGTTCGCCGCTAGAACTGCTAAGTTGAAAAAATTTAATTTTTTTTTTTTTTAATTTTAGTTATAAAATTAGGCCTAACTTTTTAACTATGAAATATTGTTTTAAAATTATTAAATTAATTTTTAATTTTTAAAATTAAACTGTCATAACATAACCTAACCAACCAGACTTGCTTATGATAACAAAAACTATATAAGATACAAATCTAATTAATGATTACAGTACTTTTAATTTTTAATTAATTATAAAATTAATTTTAAAATTTAGTATTATAAAATTTAACTGTTATAACCTAACCTAACCAGCCAAACTTGCTGATATGAAAAATTTGATGACAAAAAGTTGTGTTGCCAGCGGGATTCGAACCCGGGACCTCTTGAACATCAATCCGAAACGCTACCAACTATGCCACGAACGCCGCTGAAATCACATCGTTTCGTTACGGTAATCGTGTTGCCTCAAGAGAAGACATTAGCCACTAGAGAAATGACGTCACTACACCTTAGCCTTAGTCCCTCCCGTGTGCCCATTCCCAAATTCTATAAATCAAGTGTTGTGTAAAATACTATATTGTCTGTAGTAGGAAAGCATGACTATAGGAAGATTCGACTCACATTTAAATTTCAACCAGATAAACTATTGAATCTCCTTAAAATCATTTTATGGACATTATCATACTACTTTATGTACGAAAGAGAAAAACCCCTTTTAATGTCTGTGAATAATTGAATTTTGGTGATGATTGTACATTAACTTTTACTTGATATTCAAAAGAAATCTCTGAGAGCTCCAGAGTGACACTTCACTAATTTAACTGTGTTTTTTTTCACTATATTTACCCTTAGTAGACACGGCAGCAGTAAAAATGCGTAAAAGTAAAAATAAAAATGACACGGAGCAATAAATGAGAAGCAACAAAATGCTTGACAGAATATTTCACTCAAAAAGAATTAACTAATTTCATCAAACTTCCACTTGAGCTATTTGCCAGTTATTTTAGATGAACCTCTCTCACCACAGTTGGAGTTTATAATACGGTATTTTACAAGGCCTTGAGGACAATTCAATAACTTTTCTGCATCTTACGTAAACTCCTGTAAACTTACCTGAGGTGAAGGTGAGTCGCCTGAAGAGCTCTGAGACAGCTTGGCCACCGGAACTCTCTGATCATCAAACTCAGTGCGGGGAGTAGTGGCGGGGACATAATCTGCCTCATACAGTGGTGGAGGTACACTCAATATCAGGTCTCCGCCCAGCCCGATGTCAAAGTCTACGGGAAGAATGGACGGGTGCTGCTGCAGCTGGCCATTCAACTCACTCAGCGAATCCTACCGATATGGTCCAATTTAGTATGTTAACTTGTTACAATATTCTCTTCTAAAACAGGATTTGTATACAGTAGAACCTCAATTATCCGGTGTAATGTGGGTGAAGGGAGACAACAGATAACTGAAAACCTCGGTTAATGCAACATGACACAAACATTTTATAACAAACCCATAAAAACTGCCTAGTACAGTATAAAATGGTCATAATGTGATAACCTACGTTTTACATAATCAAAACACAGTAATTAGTATGGCGCAATCATAAAATGTGGAGTCATTTACCTTGCTTCAGTTATAAAAACTGTAATGTTTATAATCACAGCTTAACTCAAGCATTTACTTTAAAAAAGGCCAAACACTGTACAGCAATAAATCACGTAAAGAACAGAACAATGGAAAGTCTAGTAAGCATTATGTTGTCAATGAATACAAAACCTATAAGAAGCTAAATGACCTTTGTTAAAGATTCAGTCTCGGAATATTTGAATTTTGGATAGTTCCTGCGGCGGCTGTTAGGTAGACTATCGCGAGCTTGCGGCCAAGTCAGCTGACTGAGTGAGAAAGAGTGAGACAAAGAATCGGCTTAAAGATAAAGAGAAAGAAGAGTGCGGCTGCAATTTCATTTAGGCAAAATTTCGGTCTGACTATTTTCAATGAGCACTTCACTCCTTTCGCTCTTAATTGATGTTGTCTACTGTTGTGACATAGCGCATAGCAGACAGATGTGTAAGGAGCAGACGACAGTCAGTGCAAGCGCAAGTTTTAACAGTTAAAAATTGCTTACTTGTAAGGTAACAATACTGCGTAGGATTGGATTTTCCAATGATGATATGAGGAAGTTGAGGTCATCGGCAGTCTGAGCTTGTAGCTTCACGTCGTCACTTTGGTTGATTGTGAGTTGTATGTGCTCCAACAGCTGAAGAGCACTTGATATGTCTGCGGAAATATCAAATAGTCAAGTTAATTAATATTAAACTAGTGGCTTGTAGGGACATAAGTCCCTAAAAAGCTCAAATGCAAAACAAGTTATTGTAATATTTAAACAAACTCTGAATCAAATTATCTATGTGTAAGGATTGATATCCCCGTACAACATATCTTTTGTGTAAAAAACAGTTTGTTGTTTGTCTTTGTTTGCTTTTGTTAATGTAATTTTTAATAAATAATTTGAATTACTTCAGAAATTAACTCTGATAAAGGCAGCAAACATGTTTGTGAATAAATATTGGCTTACTAAGGTAGTTTGGGTCTTTTGGTTAATGATGATAAAAAGGCTTCCCTGAAATACAGATTGGAAATTGCCGTCAAATATGAAAAGGCAAACAAAAGGTGTTGAGATAACACTAGTTCTTGGTCAACACCGCTAAATTAGCACCCTGACCCAGTCATCCGCTATCATCTTACCAAATTTCAGCCCAATCCGACCAGTATTTATATGTGTGATTGAACTTCAAACAAACAAACAAACAAACTTACAAATTGATAAGATTAGTAAGACAAGAAAAAAGAATTGGGTCACCTGTTAACACGACCCGATTTAGGGACCCTAAATCGGGCCCGATTAATGTCGGCCCTGAAATCGGATTGTGTAAACGCGTGCTACTGGTCACGATTTGGCTGGCGATCGGGTAGGGAGGTTGGGAAGGATTTCCATCGGATTTAGGGTGGAAGGGTGGGGATAGCTCCAGGCAATTCTCTCAGTCCAACCTTGATATGAGAGTCTGACTTGTTTCTTTAAGTTTTATTCGTGGTTTTGAGATGACGGAATCTACTCCACAGAAGGAAAAAGACGTTTTGAAGGAAATTATCAAAGTGTACAAAACTTACAAATTGTTGTGGGACACTTCTCAAGTTTGGTATTTACACTTGAAAAACTTCCAAAAACAACTTTTTAAATCTAATTAACTTATTACGTGAGTCTCCAAGGAAGGAAAGCAACACACTGAGCTCAGATCGGACGCAGAGAACAGGTCGTGTAAACACAACGCTCTGTCGACCAGGTGACAGGGCGGTCGGGACCAGGAACGGGAAAGGGCAGTCGGGAACGGGTCGTGTAAACGGGGCTTAAGGTTTACCAACAGGGTCCAGCACTATTATTTTTTTTGCATTTATGACAACAGCTAATTTGTACCAAGCAGCAAAAAAAAAAAAGCTGAGACAGACAATAAGAACTTTACATTTTTTTATACCTTTAGGCGCAGTTGTAAAACATTGTGGCTACGGTAGATGTGTTCTATCTATACTATAACATAGGCTACCGGTTCTGAAATTTAAAGAACCAAATTTCCTTAAACTGTGTTATCTCCTATTATAATCACAAAGCAAGAGTATAACTGCAATAAGCAAACGTAAGAAAGACTCTACGCTAGTAAAATTTATGCTCCTTTTGAAAATGTTTGAAAAAAATTTTAAAATAAAGGCATCCCATTGACCAAACTTAACGCTAGATGTTTCTGATCAACATAAAAAAAAAACTACTATTAATCTATTGTAAGATTATGTGGTGGTATTCCTCCTAAAGATGATATTGCCTTTATATATTCCATAAAAAAAGGCCCAATCATTGCTGTCTCCTTCCTATTTTGCGACTGGTTAGGGTTCCATTACCCAGTAATCGAAACCAATCACAAAATTACTTTTCATCAGCATCTTCAAAATGAATATTTTTGGTTATTTTTTAATAAACGGAAACTATCTCTAGGTTTTACTATTGCGGATGCTCCCTTTACCACCGTGATGCTAGGATATATTATTTGAACCTTTTTTGCTCGGAGCAACAGGCAGTACCTGGTTTAAATCTCCTCCAAACAATATTGTTTTTCTGCCAATTGGAACTTGTCATGGTAGGCCTACTTCCTTAATGAACAAATATATTGGCTGTACAAACCTAACTTACTTCATCTTTATTCCCACATTGTTTTCTAAGAATGGCCGTTGAGGTTGTTCGACTTCATACAAAATATTGATTTTAAAAACTATAATAAATCTTAAATTAAAAAATGATAGTAAAGATACAAAAAAGTGTGGAATAAATCTTTAACATAGGTAACCTATGTTTTGAAATCAAAACAAAGCAAAAGTTTTCTATTTATTCTTTAATCGTTTATTATTTAGTAAATGGGGTTATTTCAGGTTTTAGACATTCCTTCAACTCAACAATAACCTTCAAATTAGAAGAAAAAACATCATTATTTTTTCAGACATTCTAAGTTTAATTTCTTTTGATTTGAGCAAAGATTACATATGCTACGCAAAATAGATATTGCACCTTACGGCAATTTTGTGCCAAGTCGTTTTTGGATGGGGCCACCTTCTCGTAGTTGGGTGGTCCCTCAACAGAGGCGCTGTGTCAAGTCTCGATCTGCATTACCATTCAAGTTCGGGTGAGTTCGGTAATGTTCGCGTGCTCGGGATTAACTTGCCTGTACGCAACGCGTCGTCACCGTATCTCTAGTTTGAAAGCGCACAGGCTGTCATTAATGTACCATATAACTTTATCTTTTTACAAAAATGGCAGTTATTTAATTTTAAATTAAAGTGACCACGTAACAAAGAGCTAAAGGATACTAAAGGTGTACTGATATAAACATGAATTAATAAAAATCTTCAAAAATTTCAGTCACAGTGATAGAATAAGCTTACAATGTTATACTAGTTTTTCTGCATCAAATTTTAACGTACACCCCTAAACCTTAAATTGTTTAGAGAACCCTAAACAATTTAGATATTTATAAATCTTTCAAGTTTTAATAATTAGTGACTATTTGTGAGTTCGTCGACTTTTCTGTTTTCGGAATTTTTATCCACAAAGTTTGCTTCCGGATTTCTAGACTCACGCAATATCTTGCTACTAACTCACGATGAGGAATGTATGGTTAAAGTCAACTACTACCTAACTATTCACTGGCTACTCGACGACCTTTTTAAAAATAGCAATATACACATAGTTTGTAGGAAGAACATTTATCTACACAGATCGGCATTTGTTTTCTAACTACGTATTATCTCGTCACATTATGGGTGTTTTGTAAGTGCCGTTTGCAACTGAGCTTTGAAGAAAACGTTGAGCATAAGATATAAAATATAGATTTTAGATTTGGATTGTTTTATATAACAAATCTTTCAACTAACGAACGATATAAAATAAATTAAAGAACACATAGTTTTAACAACAGCGGAACCTTAGTTGTACATAAATAATTAAAGAGGTTATCTTTACCACGTAAAAACGATATTTAGGTTGGAAATTGGAGGTCAGTCACACTCTCGCAATCACACGAAAGTGAACTAACCCGAGGGACCCGACATCCCAATGTACTGGTATGGCCTGTTTTAAACATTATATTAAACAATAGGTCGAATACTTTGTACCGGAAGCCTGTAACTACATTTTACAACAGACATTTCGTTCGCCTTCCCAGTATAGCTATTCATGGTAAGTTCCTGAATCAAAATTAAGGCATTGTATTGGCGTAGCCAGGTTTTGAGGTTTACCACCCCTCTCCAAAATTGAACCCCATAAATATATAACCTAGGATACTTTATTTCCGTCTTAGTGGTCTTTGTTGATAAACACTTAAACCACAACGTTCAACGTATGTCTATTTTCAATTGACAATAAATTACAAATTATTGCATAATAGTATGATGACGGTAGTTAATAATATATTTCGGAACTCTATCATAACTGTTTTTAGGCAGACTCTAAAGATAATGAGACATTGACAGTAGAAATACTGGTGAATTTATTGCTATGTAATGAAGGGACTGCCGCGAGACAGTGGTGATCGTCTGTAGAGGCAGTACTGAGTGCAGACTGCTGAGTGACAACTTGGTGTAGGCCTACATCCATAGTTTGTTAGTACATAACTAGTCATGTTGGTACAGCTTCCTTTTTACTTCTCATATTATTTATAAAGCAGTTAGGTTCAAAATGCAGTTTACACACTAAACGTGAATCTAAAGCAGTGTCGGGATTCGGGAAGGCCTTTCCGTTTTTTGATTGCCGTGTTTGCCATTTATCACATACACTCGGCTTAATACTTGGTATTGTCCATGAAAATATCCCCATCATAATAGGGCCTACAATTGTAATTCACTACACATATTAATAACACTTCTTCACTCTTGCTAATCCATTTTCTAATAAACCTCCTGTTACTTACATAAGCAAACAATCACAAATAAAGGTTTTAACCATAACAATAAACAAAAACAAAAAATACGTAAATAACAGCTGGTCATGTCGGCAATGAAGTCTTAGGTTGTGAAGACATTCGCTAGGCTTCGCATGGAAATTGATATCACAAAAATGGCTTGGCTGCAATATCTATTTTGCGTAGCATATGTAATCTTTGATTTGGGCAATCTCCTATGATTCTACTACTTATCATACGCTTAACTAATTTACTTAAAAATACACAAGTTTGCAAATTGTACATTAAAACAATTGATTTCAACTAGGTAAGACGTAACGAAAAATTCTTAATTATTTTGGGTAACGTTATCTCTGGTTTTATACAGTAAAGAGTTACATTGTAAAATTGACTGGCAAATGAGTAGTCCAGTGATCCTAATCCAAATGTAATATTGCTTACTGGCTTCACAATCAGCTGTAGGTCTATTGAAGTAAACAAAAATCAGCAGTAAATAGCTTCAAATGCTATTCTTAAGGAGAACATTTTACGTTACCGGTATATCTAAATTTCTGTTAAAATTTTGGGAATTCCACTATTTTTTCCGCCATCACGGGATAGAGACCTTTAATTTCAAACCCCTCCCGGTATTCTATGACATCCCAGTCGCCCGCAATTTTGAGGCAAAGAATCGCCTAACGTAATTAATATATAGAGGGTTGATTTACCTACTAAAATAAATAATAGTTTATTTACGAATTAAAATATTAAATTACTTTATTTTAATTAAATACAAAAGTATTAGTTAATAATAGTAGCCTATGTAGTATTCCTAGATAGGCCTAAGCATAGACAAAAAGAATTAAATATTTAGGCGTTGACCGTCAGCCGTGCTGTGGTTACCACAGGTTCTGGCACACACCGCTCTTAGCGCCATTTAGTTACAGCGTACACACTACGTAACTACACAGCGCTCCCAATGGTGTGCGCCAGAACCTATGGTAACCGCAGCACGGCTGACAAGTCTATTTTTAATTCTTTTTATCTATAAGCCCAAACTGGCTTAACAGAAGTACCATAACTCCACTAAAACCAATTAAAGAGGCAAAAAGGCATAGGTATTAACCCTAAATCAGCCACGAATATGTTTTTTTAAAGATAAACTTAGTTCAGCATACAAATTTGCCCACCCACTATATATTCTAGCTTTACTGAATTTTGCTCACCTAGTGTTGAAGTACCGGTACTTTGCTGGAACATACGTCATAGCAAAGACTAGACCTATCTGTACAGCCCATATAAAGTTCACTAGTTATTTGTCCTTCGGTCCAAGACAAAAAGTCTTTTTTTATAACCCCATAACATCACAGCTCTTAGTAACTTAACTGGACAATAATAAATTTTAATATCAATAAATAAGTTAAGTATAAAAACATTGTTTTTACCTGCACTCAAAGGCATCTTGATATAAGAGATCTTAAGATTCCCTTGATAAATGTAAGTTAGTCATACAGCCTGAAACAAGAAAGTTACAATATTAGCTTACTTAATATAACTAGGCCTATTTGGCCGACCAAGATGGAATATAATAATCTCAATCTATATAATGGCTGTCACCTCCCAGAAGGAACAACACCGTCTATGCCTACCACACTAATGATACCAGTTGGTCAACCAAAAGCCCGATCATAACAGTTATAAACTTGACTCTCAAGGTGGCAGTGGAAGTCAAATGTGGCTATGTATTTGTTACTCTTTTATACGTAACATATTCAGAAACCAAGGAATAACAAATATCACACAAGTATGTACATAGGCTGGAAATGAAGCCCATAATTTGAAGCCCCCCACAGTTGTCATTAGGCCTATAAGTTAGCCTGAGGCTATGGTGTTGAAATGAGTACCTAAGTTAGTATGTGACTCTTCCGAAGATTAGGGGTAATGTGCTTGGGTGTGTGAGTGTGTGTGAAAAATCGTCCAATTTGGATTAAATTTAGCAAAAAACGAGTAGGCTATGTTAAACCCAAGTTCTTAATCTAACACGCTCGCAAACCGGCATGATCAGACTATGAGAATGGTTTGGGACCCCCACGGGACCCTATATTGCCCGTGCCTACCGCTAAAACTTAACTAGTTGCTAATCCATTTAGTAGCAACTTAGTTTGACAATCTTTATCCATTATATAAGGCCTAACTTACCATAACTTAACCCTCCAAGGCTCCAAGTGTCCATAGTAATGGTATTAATGTCCGCCTATTTATTGCGCAGTTGCAGGGTTTTATTAAAATGTATCTTAGAAACTTTAAAACAATGTAAAGTAGCCTATACCCCTACTGTTTTATAAATCATTTTGTTTGGGAAATTATGGGCTTCAATGTAATAGGCACCGGTATATAAAACATTACAAAAAAAATTTTCAACAATTATCGTGGGGTTAACATTTCTCAAAAATTATTAAAAAATGAAAAAAATTATGTTTGCGCTCAATAAATTTTTATAATTTATAAGCCTAGGCTACAAATATTTTAAAATAGCCACTTTGTTCTAAATTTTATAAGGATTACAAAAATATAATAATATACGGTAAGGAGGTAAATTTGCAAATAAATAAGTTATGTGTGAAAAACAGATTTCGTACATTTAGCGTTTTTAGAATGCATAAGTTAACTTAGCCTAATCATAGCTAGGAATCTGGCCGACAATTTACATCAATATCACTACCTACTTCTTCAGGATCATCAATCAGCCCTTCAAAATAACTTAAATCTTCTTATAATGCACCAAGTATATCACTAGAGTACTTTTTATTTTTAACACTAAAACAATGATAAACGTAATAAAACACATCCGTCATCGGTGTGAGGTTAACCAAGCTGTTTACAAATACGCACGTCAGCTGTCTGCTACAATATTTTCGGAACTAAAATGAAAAGCGTCTAGAAACAGACATCAGGAGAAAGCTTAGTATATCTGCCGAAAACAACGATACCAATCTCGATCCAGTTCAATCTGATTCAATCAGTCCCAGAACCACGGCGCATAACACCACGGAGGGTGTGTTAAGTGCGTCGATTACGCGACGCTTAACACTCGGAGGGTTAACTTAAATTAAAACAAACAAAAATTTGAATAATAAACACACGTAGGTATACCAACTTACTTGGAGGACTGGGTAAACTAACAAAAACGCCTAGCCTAGAGACCTGGATAAATGTATGTCCTGGATAAAAAATACTGTCAGTTGTAGCCTACGGAAAAATCACCCGTACATGGAAACCACAGCAACAGCATCTTCAGAGACTAAGTTATTCCATTAGACCTTAGGCAAACTACAACTAACAACCAAACATTAACTGTAGGGCCTACATTTGTAACAAGCCATGTGTAGACCATGGATGTTGGCGTCAACAACAGTTGACGTCGGTCTAAGTTAGTGTGTTCAGACAATGATTCAACTAAAGTTGACGCCGGTTTATGGCAAAAAACCTTACGTCTACGAATAGTTTACGATAAGTTAGTTAACACTGATCTAAGTGGTAAAGCAATCTTTTTAACATGTCAATACCAGTAGCAAACATGTTAGCCTAACTCAACAACTTGTTAGCCAATAAGTTGGTCTAACTCAGGCTGGTCTAGATGAATCCTAATCCGCTTATCGGCGTGAAACTGGCAATAGATTAGCAATAACTCACTCCACTTCTCCTACTTCCCCTCCAACGAATATACGTCACAGTAAAACGTCATAACAATGATGGCGTCACAGCAGCATTCGTCATAGAGCCGACGACATAACCTCCAAAATATCAAGTGGCGGGAACTTTTTTTGGCGGCACACGGCCAAGATGGCGTTCGGTTGTTCCCGCCAACCGTTGAGTATAGCAAGTGTCTTTAATATATGTAAACAACTGCATAAATGAATTAATGTTAAGGAGTTGTAAACAAAGTAAACGCCTAAAGCCTATCCTAGCACCATAGACTAACAATCACAAGAAGACTTCTCATCCCATTGTAAATTTTGAAGCTCGTTTTTCGTATCTAGTTCATGTACGTGACACATGGGCGCTAGTGTCGACGAAACTTTGTTTCTATTATTTTAGGGTTAATTTCTAGATTTGTGCTTTACTGTTTGGTTATATAACTTGGGTACAGGTTATTGTTTATGATTAGATCGTATTATTTAGTTAAACGAGGCTTTAAATGGCTGTAATAACGGGAAACAGTAAACAAAACAGGACCTCAAGAAAATAAGAAATTGTCATAAATTTCTATTGCTGGCCTATTCGGTTGGTACGATTTTCTGTTTTTCATTTGAAATATGTTTATTACATTGTTATGAACTGGAAAACACTTCGTTTATGTTCTAATAATTATTTATAGTTGAGATAGGTGACTTTGAATTAAACTGGTGTGACCTCGGTTCCATAACAACCCAACTAACAAAAAATCGATCTTTTCGTTTGTACATGTTTATTGCTTCTTAATAAACAATATCTAACGCCTTTTTGATAAAAATTATCAGTAATTATCAATTAAATGCATTATTAAAATTTTGCCTCAAGAAAATATTAAATTACCATAAATTTCTATTGCTGGCCTATCCCGTTGGTACGATTTTCTGTTTTTCTTTTGAAATATGTTTATTATATTGTTATGAACTGGAAAACACATAGTTTATGTTCTAATAACTATTTATAGTTGAGATATATGACTTTGATTTTAACTGGTGTGACCTCGGTTCCATAAGAACCCAACTTACTAAAAATCTTTTTTTCGTTTTAACATGTTAGTTGCTTCTTAATAAACAATGTCTAACGCCTTTTCGATAACAATTATCAGTAATTAACAATTAAATGCATTATTAAAATTTTGCCTCAAGAAAATCTTAAATTACCATAAATTTCTATTGCTGGCCTATCCCGTTGGTACGATTTTCTGTTTTTCTTTTGAAATATGTTTATTACATTGTTATGAACTGGAAAACACATAGTTTATGTTCTAACAACTATTTATAGTTGAGATATGTCACCTTGAATGGCGTTGGTGTGACCTCGGTTCCATAACCACCCAACTTACAAAAAATCGATTTTTTTCGTTTGTACATGTTTTTTACATCTTAATAAACATAATCTAATACCTTTTTGATAAACCTATCTGTAATTATCAATTAAATGCATTATTTAAAATTTGCCCCAAAGAAAATAAGAAATTGTCATAAATTTCTATTGCTGGCCTATTCCGTTGGTACGATTTTCTGTTTTTCTTTTGAAATATGTTTATTACATTGTTATGAACTGGAAAACACATAGTTTATGTTCTAATAACTATTTATAGTTGAGCTATATCATATTGAATGTCGTTGGTGTTACCTCGGTTCCATAACAACTCAACTAACAAAAAATCTTTTTTTTTTTCGTTTTAACATGTTAGTTGCTTCGTAATAAACAATATCTAACGCCTTTTCGATAAAAATTATCAGTAATTATCAATTAAATGCATTATTAAAATTTTGCCTCAAGAAAATATTAAATTACCATAAATTTCTATTGCTGGCCTATCCCGTTGGTACGATTTTCTGTTTTTCTTTTGAAATATGTTTATTACATTGTTATGAACTGGAAAACACGTCGTTTATGTTCTAATAACTATTTATAGTTGAGATAGGTAACTTTGAATTAAACTGGTGTGACCTCGGTTCCATAAGAACCCAACTTACTAAAAATCTTTTTTTTTCGTTTTAACATGTTAGTTGCTTCGTAATAAACAATATCTAACGCCTTTTCGATAAAAATTATCAGTAATTATCAATTAAATCCATAATTAAAATTTTGCCTCAAGAAAATATTAAATTACCATAAATTTCTATTGCTGGCCTATCCCGTTGGTACGATTTTCTGTTTTTCTTTTGAAATATGTTTATTACATTGTTATGAACTGGAAAACACGTCGTTTATGTTCTAATAACTATTTATAGTTGAGATAGGTAACTTTGAATTAAACTGGTGTGACCTCGGTTCCGTAACAACCCAACTTACTAAAAATCTATTTTTTCGTTTGTACATGTTAGTTGCTTCTTAATAAACAATATCTAACCACTTTTTGATAAAATTATCAGTAATTATTAATTAAATGCATTATTTAAAATTTGCCTCAAGAAAATATTAAATTACCATAAATTTCTATTGCTGGCCTATCCCGTTGGTACGATTTTCTGTTTTTCTTTTGAAATATGTTTATTACATTGTTATGAACTGGAAAACACGTCGTTTATGTTCTAATAACTATTTATAGTTGAGATAGGTAACTTTGAATTAAACTGGTGTGACCTCGGTTCCGTAACAACCCAACTTACTAAAAATCGATTTTTTTCGTTTTAACATGTTAGTTGCTTCGTAATAAACAATATCTAACGCCTTTTCGATAAAAATTATCAGTAATTATCAATTAAATGCATTATTAAAATTTTGCCTCAAGAAAATATTAAATTACCATAAATTTCTATTGCTGGCCTATCCCG